CACCCCCTAAGAGTGAGCCTATTATATGCGCCACCCTGTATATTTATTAAATCAATTATTTATTGCATACCTTGGCATCCAGTGCCCGTTTTATTGATGCTCTACGTTGAATTTTCGATTCGCCTCTTTCAATTTGTGCAATAATTCGTTCAATGTCGGTTAGCTCATGGAATCTCTCCCAAAACACTTGACTATATTCGACCACTTCCTCGGGAAATTTGCCTTCCACTTCTTTGGCTATGTTGTCAATATCGTCGCGGCCAAATTTTTCATTTGCTTTAATAAACTGATTAAAATCACGTTTCGTCCAATTTGTAAAACCTTGCATTAATAATGATTCTTTTTCGCCGATTTCGTCCTCAGTTAGCTGCTCGGCTTCATCAATTTTACGTTGTTCTTCACGTTGAATGCGGGTTGCTTCGGGTCCGAGCTCTGTATTGCGTGGTACTTTATAGTTCAATGTTTTACGGAAATAGTAAATCTCTTGGTCAAGAAGTTCGAAGAGCCGAGGTGGAAAAAATTGAAAATCTTGAACAATTGGTTGTTTGGGTGGACGTGGTGCTTTTGGTGCTTTTGGCTCAGATGTACGTAATGCCTCTCTAAAATATGCATCAACTGCATAGTTCGCTTTACGTTCACGCTTTGGCGGTTCAATCCAATTGCCAAGAGTCATCATTTTTGCCTTTTCACGAAAATCTTCACCTTCAAACTGATACACATATTGACCCGAACTAGATGGCATATCCATTGTGAAATTGCGCAATGAACTTTCCCCCAATTGATCGAGCTTCATTTTTTGTTCGGCTGTCTTTTCTTCACATTTTGCCAAAATTTGATCAATATCATCGTCTGTAATATCTGAGTCTTTCGAAGCAAAAACATGATTTGCACCATGACGAATCATATTTAAAATTTCATCCTTGCCCAATTGATTGGATTTGTTATCCACTAATTTGCCTTGTTGTATAACCAATTTGTCAAGGCGTAACTGAATAACAATAAAAGAAGAATATTTAAATTTGAGCGCGAAATCAACTACGATATTATTATCTATCTATCTATCTTCTATCTTCTATCTTCTATCTTCTATCTATCTTCTATCTTCTATCTATATCTATAAATCAGAAAGTCTAGGGGATCGGATCTCGATCAGAAAATAGCGAATTATTCGATATTTTGCGAATTTTATGCGAAATGATTTGTAAGCGATGGGCCAGTAAAGTTGTGATTTAAAAAACAATTCGCAAACAAAACGCTATGAACGTGAGACAATTCGCAAAATTTGTAAGTTTTGTATGTATCAAATTGTGAACGCTTGTAAACGAGCCAAGTGAACAGCAGCGACGCACGAAAACGAAATGAGTGAATAGCGACAACGAACGAAAGAAAAAATGTTATCCGCTGCCGCTATTCACTCACTTCGTTTTCTTGCGTCGCCGCTATTCACTTGGTTCGTTTGCAAGCGTATATTATATAGTTTGATTGTGATAACTTTTTGCGAATAGCTTGCGAATTGTATGCGAATTTCTTGAATTATTTTACTAAAATGACGACTTTATCATATTTACAATCAATAAATTTTGTCCATTCGCGAATAGATCATTTCCCCTAGCAGAAAGTATGTATGTATGTATGTCCGGGGTTGCCGTCCAAACGCCTCAACCGAGCCGGATAAAAGTTGTACCGTTGGAGAGGTCTCGGCCCGGCGGTGAACATAGGCACCATCATGGTCGGCCATCGTGATCTAACACGGTCATTAAGGTCGAAAAACCATATTTTTACCGTTATTTTGCCTATTTTTGTACTTTTTATTGGCAAAGGCGAGAATGGACCGTGGTAAACCGTGGTAACCATGATGGCCGACCATGATGGACCGTGGTAAATGGTTTAAAATGAAAAATTTTGACGAATTAAGCGATTTTAACATCATTTAGTCGTACATCATTCTCCATCGTGGTCTAACACCGTTTAACGCGGTTATTGAGGTCGGACATCATGGTGTAACACCATATAACACGGTTATTGAGGTCGAACATGATGGTACATCGTAGTCTAAAACCATTTGTAAAAATAAAAAAAATGTCAAAACATGATTTAACGCGGTTCACGAGTCGGCCATCATGGTAAAAATGTCAAAACATGATTTAACATGGTTTACGGGGTCGGCCATCATGATAAAAACCGTTAAAACATGATTTATCATGGATTTTGAGGTCGACCATCATGGTAAAAAGTGTCAAAATATTATTTAACATGGTTTACGGGGGATTCATCACAGTGAAAAACGGGAATAACGAATAAGACGCAAGGAATGAAGCGCATACGCACAAACACTACTTTCTACGTGTCTCGCTCCGTATTCTGTTTCGTGTGTTCGTAACTGACGCACGGTGCGAATGCCCCGGGTGAACAGATAACATTACAAAAAGTATAATTTTTTGTGATTTTCTCATGCTTACCTTAACTTCGGCACGTTCAATAACTTTTTCCTCGACGGTGTTTTCTGTTATGAATCGGAATACACGCACTTGTTTTTTCTGCCCAATACGATGGGCACGGTCCATGGCCTGTAAGTCCATTTGTGGATTCCAATCCGAATCATATATGATTACAACATCGGCAGTGGCCAAATTAATACCTTAGAGATTACAACAACAACAAAATTGTACTTTTATTGAAAAATTGGAATGGAAAATAAATTAAGTACCTAAACCACCAGCACGTGTTGACAACATAAAAATAAACTTTTCACTATTCTCTGCATTATATTCGCTGATATAACGATCACGATCTTCGTGCGCTGTTTTTCCGTCCAAACGACAGTATTGGAATTGACGCCAATAACAATAATCTTCGAGTATATCCAGCATTCTTGTCATTTGACTAAAAATTAAAACACGTGACCTTTGCTCTTGTAATTTTGGCAATAGCTTGTCTAATACAACCATTTTGCCGCAATTTGTAATCAAATGTTTGTCCGTTGTGTATGGTGGGCCTGTAAAATTGAAGAGAATTCTTAAATTATTATTGTTATAAATATAGAGTTTTGTACAACACTCAACCCCTTTGGCATTGGAACCTTTTGAATTTACACTAGATAAAAATGAAATAACCTCCCCTGATAATCTGAGCTCATTATAGATCTACTTTGTACTACACTTGGGTGGTTTCTTCACTCATGCAAAATAAAAACATATAATATTTTAGTATAATTTTAGTACCCGGTTCAGCTCCATCAAACAAATATGGGTGATTCGTGCATTTTCGTAATTGCATCAAAATATTTTGCAATCGCATTTTCTCCATTTTACCGGCACCGTTGACAATGTCAATATCTTTCATTAAAATTTTTGTATACCATTCGCGTTGCATCTTTGAGAGTCCGACAAATATTTTAATCTCTTTCTTCGGTTTTAAACGTTTTTCCACCTCAGATTTTAGTCGACGCAATAGAAATGGACGTAACACTGCATGCAATCGAGCCACCAAACTATCGTCCCCTAAGCACTGATTTGTATTAAACCATTCGTCAAAGTCATCGGCACTGTTAAATACGTCAGGCAACAAGAAATTGAGCAATGCCCACAGTTCATGTAGGTTATTTTGTAATGGCGTTCCAGTTAGAAGTAAGCGATTTGCTGTTTTGAATTCACGCAAAATTTCGGATAACTTTGATTTTTCATTTTTTATTCGATGCGCTTCGTCTATAACCATGTAGCGCCAATTAAATTTCTTGAAAACAGATTTTTCACGAATACACATTTCATACGATGTTATGCACACTTCCCACTCGCCAGGCATCAATACATCTCGGATAAATTGTGTACGCTTGTCTTGGTCGCCAATCAAACATACTGCTCTGATTGATGGACACCACTTTTGGAATTCATTCATCCAGTTTTGTAAAGTGGATTTAGGCACAATCACAATATGCGGACCACAGTTATTCCTGAAACGGTCGAATACAGTTCATATAGATGTGTGTGTACAATAGATTTTTATCATACATTGGAAATATAGTATAGTATACCAAATGGTATTCATACCAATTGGTATTACATGCGGTAATTGCCGCATGCATAAGTCATGCATCGCACTTCGTTTTCGTGCATCGCCGCTATTCAATTGGCTCTTTACAAGCGACTTATGCATGCGGCAATTACCGCATGTAATACCAATTGGTATGAATACCATTTGGTATACTATACTATATTTCCAATGTATGATTTTTATTACAAATTCCGCATTAAAGTCAGAAAATATATGAATAATTTTTATTATACTCACTTGAAATGTTTTAAATAACCAATTAATGAAATAGTTTGTAATGTTTTTCCCAACCTATGAAAAAATATTTTTTTACATTTTTTTTTTTTAATTGTCACCAAAAAGGTTTTTAGTGAATGTGTAACGAACTTTTTATTTAAATGTTATTTTGTGAAAAGAGTGAAGGTGCAAAATTCATAAAACGTACCCCATTTCATCAGCTAAAATGCCGTTAATACCATTTTCATACAATGAAATCATCCAATTGAGACCCCTGATTTGATAATCACGCATCTCGCCACTTTCAATGTAACGTGGAGACTCTTCGAATCGAAATACCGCCGGAGTTTTATTTACCTCCGCTAACAATTCTTCATCTTCTTCTTGTTCAGTTTTACGATGACGATGACTAGGTAACAGTGTCAGAAAAAATATTATTGTGAGGATAGTTAATTAGTTATCGCTAGAACTTTGCACAGACAAAAATTTAGCTATGCAGGTTAAACTTACTCGCCAGCATCGGTGGCGTCTTTGTTTTTCTTCGGTCGACCGACAGATTTGACTTTATTTGGCGACTTCGGACCTGTGTTTGTCATGAAATGTGTAAAAATTTCGGTTTGTTTTAATAAATAATCAAATCGTTTCGATCGATCCATTTCGATTTTGTTTTCAAATTCGGTTTCTTTTTCTCTTGATTCATTCGTATTGGATGAAGATTCATTCTGTCACAAAAAATAAAGAACAACAATGTCACAAAACGTAAATAAAACCAATTCTTATTGGCAAAATAGCACATGTATTAAAAACAAAATCAGCTCAATTCTTATGAAATGAAGAAAAAAAATTTACATAAACAGAAACAAAAACATCAATTTTCATTGCTGTCGCATATAAAGTTCCAAAGGGCCTAAAACATTTCAGCGGATTTTTCGTTTTCATAAATTTGAAATCATTCTTTTGATGCGTGCAATGTAATATGTAGTTTCATTTACAAAAAAACAGTATGCTTCTGTGTGTGAGTGTCGTTCAAAAATTGTTTTTCAAAATGGGAAAAACTGTACAAAGCTTACAGAATTTTCATTGGTTTCCATTGCACTCATGTTTTCCTCCTTCTTAGACATCGTATTTCATTAAATACAATCAAAATAACCAATATTTTGGTTACAACAAATACCAAACGTCTTATCTGTATTCTTTTCTGTATGATGAATGAATGATACGACATATACTAAATTTCTAATGCCACAGTTGCTGTAAAAAGAAGCGGTTTGTCAATATCCATAGTGCGCGTGTCGCTGCAACTTCATTTGTTTGAATTGAACGCACACATTCGCTGATGTATTCGCCCCGCCAAATATGAAATTCGATGAAAAAATCAGACCGAATAAATCTCATTAAAATAAAATATTTATTTTAAAAAACATATATTTTAATACTTAATTATGTTTGATTGTATAATTCTTTTGAACTTTTGTATCTACCAATCACATTAGTTACGTGTATCATTTTAGGATTTGGACTAAGTTTCTGTTTTGTATATCCAGAAGCTTAACCGTTTAACACATTTTGTTTAAATTCTTCTTTTTGGCATAGTTTCCATCACAATTTGTTTATTTCGTTGTGTTTGTTGTTTGTTTTTTTCTTCTTTTAATATCTCTCATGTGTGATGCATAAATCGATTTTATTATTACTCGAAACGTAGGAGAGAGACAACACAGAGATTGTACTAGAACCTTAAATACACCTTAACACTAACACGTACCATTGGACAAGATAACATTTCATTTAGACTGCACTTTTTCAGCTAATATTTAATTAGATTTTCCCTGCATTTATCACGTTAATGTGATTAAATAAAAAAGAATTTCATGTGACGGAAATGCACCTGAATCTGGATTTTTTTGTTCTTAAATGTATATTTAATTCATTGTAGAAAATAAAAAAAGCGATAAAATTGTATGCTTTTGACGTATTATCGGTTCCACGAACGAATAGAAAGTATTTTGTGAATTTAACTATTTTAAAAATATAAATTTATTCACGCATACAATTTAATGATTTCATGAATGCTGACTACAGAACCGGTGCTCAATGCTATCATTGAGAATAATACTAGAACTATATTTTTGATGAAAATCCAGTTCCATTTACCAAGATTGTCCGGATAAAGAAAAACGGTTTCAACTACTGCAGGGATACAAAGACCTAAATGATTAAATGATATTAGAACGATTATTAACTACGATGTGTTTCTTTTGTGTTTCAATTAGTAATTTATAAAGAAAAAACTAGTTTATATTTACCAAGTATTGAGAAAAATATGGCCCCAACTAAACCGATGAATGGATCTAGTTTTGGTACAGCAGCGGATACACCACCTAAGTATAATCAGAAGAAAAAAAATGGAATTAAAGGAAATTAATCAACATGTAATGGAATATAATGGAATAGTGATTTTTAAGTAGGGATACACCACCCATTATCAGAATCGTTCCAGCACGGAATAAAATTTGTGAAAAATTATGTTTTTCTTTTGGAATGCTTGAACCAACTTTACGCCATAAAATGTCCATTGGAACATAGAATTGAAGACCAAATGTGAATAAAACAGCAATTGCGATCAAAATTTGAGCCACTTCAGCAATTCTGTGAAATTTCAATAAGTTATTTTAGATTGCAGTAATTAAAAAAAATGTACATTATTTTTACGTACAGAACTCCTCTCGGTAAGTTCAAAGTAATGCTTGCTTCGACATCTTCACCATAACGTACATATCCGAGAAAGCCAATGCCTGCATAAAGACATACCACGGTAATCATGGCAGTGTTCAAAACTCCGGGACAACCAAGGAAATGGTGAGGTTTTTTCATCGAATTTTCCACTGGCATTACTACACCAATTCCTTCCATAGCAAATATCACAGTACTACCAAATGAGAAAAAAAAATTATAAATTTACGAGTTTTTCGAAAGTGTTATAACTCCGAAAAATAATGCACGACATGTAATAGAAAATATACCTGAAAAACAATGGCAATTGCCCCCAGCTGGAGAACCACGGTCTTTTACTAACTCCCATTTCACCCGTGAACATAAAATACAAGGTTATGGCGAATGTAACAACAATGCATAAATTTGCAATTGCAGAGAATGGTACTAAGTATTTCAATTTTCTAATTTCACCGAGCAGTATACACGGGAAGACTACAACAGCGATATAAAATCTAATGTCATAGTTTACATTCAATTCGGGGTTGATTACTTCTTTCAATGATGTTGCAATAAAAACAATATATACACAATTGGCACCCAAATAAGTGGCTACCAGTCCATAATCTGTGAAGTTTCTATAAAATAGAAAAACAGAAAAAAATTAAGTTTATATTCTTTTTTTAATTTGAATGAATTTATCAAAGTAAAAAACATAAAATAATCTGCATAACCGATTTTTTTTTCAAACATAAAACTGGTGGAACAGTTCAAAGAAATGGACATAATAATAGCAATCAAAATCAAATTACATTGATATTCTTAAGAAAAGTCTTTTCAGTACTTTAGATTTACATGTTAATAATTCAAAGTAGGGATTAATCAGAATAATCAAATTTTAGTTATTTTGTGTGCTATCATTCACTACAAAATACACTAACGTTAGTCTATGTTATCGTTTAAATTCTCTATCTGTCATCAATCATATATGATTACGAATGTATAAATATACTATATATGTGTACGATAGTTTTGACAGATTTTTATCAGTTTATTTGCAGCTAAAACAGTATTTCATGTGTTTTTATTTATGTCGGACGCCAAACAACGCTCGTGTAGAAAATAGTTTCATCATCTCGATTTATTTGTTTGTGACAAGGAAAAAAAATTGTGGATTAAAGCAATGACAGGCAAAAAGATAACAAATTATTCGGGGAAGGGTCGAAATAGTTTTCAAAACGCAAGTAATCAAATGGTTAGTACAAGCAAAAATCCTATAAAACAGATGAACGCAACGACTGCTGTAACATCTAGTCCAATGGCTGGCAATTCAAGTAGTACTCCAGCTGTAACAGTGACAAGTACCGCTTTGCCATTGTCTATGTCAACACTCATAAAAACTAGTGAAAATATCAAGTATCTTCCACGTTATACAAGTGCGTTAACCAAATCAGCAATTGAACTATTTCCAGCCGAAGAATTAGATGGCATTCAGTTAGAGTTGGAGATATTACTTTCGACTGTAGCATTGCGTTATAAAAGTTTGAAAAGTGGTTTTGATTCATTGGATCGTGAAGATAAAACACATAAAAAGAATGAGAAACATACATCCGCTGCATTCGGTAAACTCAAACTCTTAATACTTGTATACTATATATTTTTTCCTCGAAACTTCCAAATAATTGCAATTTTTCTTCTGGTAAACTTTAGGTAAGCGCAAAATGACTAAAGAAGCAAAATCCTCAAATCAATCGGCCAAAATTATAAAAATAAAGGCCAGCGCATCTGATTCACCGGCTCATTCACAGCATACCGACGATAATGCGGATACTTCGCCAACATCACATCAAAATAGTCAATCATCAACAACTAGTCAACAGAATCCAAAAGTGTTAGTCCCAAAAAATGATATACCCAATAAATTCTGGCTATCTGTTGAACCATATTGTATGCCAATTACTCAAGAAGACGTCAAGTTACTAGATGATATGATTGAAGAGTATTCGGGGCCATTGGTACCACCAGTACCAGAATTGGGACCACATTATGCTTCACGATGGGCCACAGAAGATTTACGTGAAGAACAAGACAGCTCTAATCTAAATGCCAAAGGAAATAAACGCTTCACAAATGCAGCTAATCCAGAAGTAAATAGCATGCTGAAGAAAGGCGAAAAGGTGGCCAGTGAAAAAATGATGGCAGAAGGTTAAAAAAATATTTTCGAAATGAATATCCGTTGTATTTTCCATCCATTTGATGTTTTTTTTCAATCGTTTGATATTTAGGTATTACCGGACCACTAACGCAACGACTTGTGGCGGCTTTACTTGAAGAGAATTTACTAAATTCAAAAATTGGTGATATTATTGGATCAAGCGATGGTAGCATGGCGAATGAAAGCAATGACAGTTGTGGTGAAAACAACTTATCATCAGCCAATCGGAGCAATGCTTCGGTTTCGATGCCAATAGCATCTCTTTTAAAAAATGGTATAGACGTTGAAATACGTTTGAAAAAAGAATTATTCGAGTTGGGAATCCTTGACATCAGTGATTTTCCCAAGGAAAAAGATGATGAAGTCTTGAATGAAATAAAACGCGTCCGCACTGAATTGGAATCAATTTCTGAGTACAATTTAAACGAATTGAAGCAATTACGAATTGCTGCCAAAGAGGAAATGCAACGTTTGGAAATAAAGCGAAAACTTGATGCTGTTGATCAAGAAGTATCTATGAATTTCGTTTGAAAATTTGACAAAACAATAATAATTTTTACAAAATTTTACTAAATCTCAATTTTAATTTACAGTTGATTGAATCATACAAAAGAGTGTGGGCTGCCAAACAAAAACGTCGTCCATTAACCAAGCAAGAGAAGAATGAAATCTATCGCTTAATCGAAGAACAAAAGCGACTTGGGGATCAACTAGAATCAATGCCATTTCCCGGCATATGTCAGCAAAAATCAAATGACTAATTGTAACACATATTTAATGTATTTCATTGGAATTTAATAAAGTCACTTACCTAGCAAACGTAGCATATTTCCTAAGGAATAGCGGGCCGGTTTCAAACACTTTCTCTGCGGTCTCAGCAAAACCAAGTGACGGCACTTTTGCCTTTTTACATACTTCATGTGAAGTTTTAACCTGTAATTGAATGTTTTTCTTTAAATATTTTTCATATATTCTCGAATAAATATTTGTTTGTTCATTTGAATAATAGTTATCGTTTCAAATTCTTAATGAGTTCTTAATGATTTCAATAGATATACCAATATATGCACGCAATGTGTACAAATTAAACCAATAATAATTGTTCCAACTGAGCCAAAAAGTAAACCGGCATTTTTAAAGGCCATCGGCATGGCTAAAATTCCAGTACCTAATGAGCTTTTTAAAAGATGTGCCAATGATCCCATTGTCCTAAATTCAAATAAAAATTACAATAATAGAATTTTCAAGAAAAGTTTCATCATAATTTTCGATTTAACTTACGAATTGGAGTGTGCCATATCTCTGTGTTCAAACGGGTTATAATCGCTGTCTTTTCCATTTTCCACTTTTTCTGTCAAAATGGTACTATACAGAAAATACGAAAAATTAAATTAGAGAAAAGTTTAGCTGTGAACAATTTCAGGCACTTCCGATTTGTTTGGTAAAATATTTTTGCGTCATTCCATTTTTATTGATAAAATATTGACATCTACACTTGAATGTTGATTGATTGAATTTATCTTGAGTTATGTAGAAAATAATTGTAATTCGATGAAAATTGTGCCTGCTTCATCATTATTTTGTCACATTAATGTTGATAACCAGTTCTTTTGCGCCAATGACGTTTTAATTATAGATATAATGGTAAAGAATGTTTTAAAGAATGATTTCAGTGCAGAAACGTGACGTATTTTTCATTATAGATAAATGCGACAAGTGCAAAGTTCCCTATTTCATTATTAATTATTTTATCAGCCATTGGTTGCTTATCAACGACAACAACATCAATGGAGAATGTGTACTAGCTCCTTGTTAATTACAACTTAATGGCGTTAAAATTTATGGCATCAAATACTCACGTTGAATTAAAATCACTCAGCGTAAACACCGAACCTTTATTGTCCTTTTCTGTTGACATGCTAAATATTCGAAGACAAAAATAAACATAATTAGCATTCGTTTCGAAATCAAAGCACCACATGTAACCATTTATTCGCTAAAATTGCTATTTCAATACATATTATGATATAGTTTATTATATTTACGTATTTTAATCATAACGATTAAAGTTAAAACAATTAAATTATTATATTGGATGTTTTTCTTCTGGGTAATTCTGCTTTTTTCTATTTTCAATCAATTCTGATTATCTTGAAATTTCAAAACTAAAAATCGCGATTTACATATTTTGATATTCAGTCACTCACATTTTGAGATTAATAGTGTGTTGTAAGAAATCACCGAAATTTTATGGAAAAAAAATCAAATAACAAAGAGAATGAAGAGAAAATTGTAGATTTTGATGCGAGCCGTTGAACAGTCTGCCACAAATTGAAATCGCTATTCAAGCTCAGCGATTCACCTAAATACTTTGTGTCTCTAATCTTAAAACCGTGCGCAATCGAAACGATTTATAACCTGTAGATTTATTGATTACTTTTATTTCTTCATTGATCGATTAGTTATCGATTTCGCCGGAATTTTTTTTTTATACAAAAATTCAAAAAGTCAACCAGTTTTGATAAACCAAACTAGTATGTTTTTCGGAAACTGGCTATTCATTTTCGAGTTGCGATAAAGTTTGCTATTTACAGTCAAATCTTATTCAATTGTGTTCCCTTCCAAATGGGAAATATCTAAGTGTTTGCATCATTCAAACGCAATCAATTGAATGTAAATAGAGAAATGTTATTACTTTTTTAGCACGCGAGGGCAAATGAACAAAGCCAATTTTTTTTTTGCTTATAAATTCATCGATCAATTTTAGACACAATTTGCTAGTTGATGTTTCAGACTACTTAAGATATGATAATATGATCTAGACGCGAAAATATTTTTACTTTTTTGTTTCTTTCATGATTATAAATGGCCGCGTGGATCAATGTAATTATCATTCAATACATCAATTTTATGCAGATAATCACGTGACCATATATGATTTTTTTCAAAATTGAAATAAATACACAATCTGTTTTTGTCTAGTATGTGCCATCTGAAAAGTGATTTGGTGAATCACACAAATAGGCAAACAGACATTTATTTCAACTTGTTTATCATTTCATAACATGTTCTGTTTCACTTTCAAATTTTTTGTAATAAAGATATACAAATATTTAATTCAAGATTTAAGTTTTTTTTATATTGCAAACCAGTCTATCGAAAAGATAAAAAAATGTAAATGTCACTACTATCCTTTTTTAATAAGTTTGTGTAAATGATGGGATACAATCACTATTGAGGTTTAAGCTTTCAACACGAATTATAATAAACATTTTATTATAATAAAACACTGCACGAATGTTGATGATTTTCTTTATATTTTATGGACACAATTCTTTCCAAACACTTCAACTCTGACCATCATTTTGTTTCGCACAAACATCAAGCTGATTCGTATTTAGGACAATAACAAAATACACGTACAAAAAGAGTTCAAGCAACTGGGTGGTGGTAAACTGTAATCTTCAGCAGTATCGACTTCAAATCTAGTTAAAGAATGAACAATTTGATTGCAAATATGCACTGAGAGAAATATTTGAGTACGGTAACTCGCATTTGCGGTGTTAGCAGTGCGTCTACCCTTCAAAATGAGTTACGCACTCTATTTTACTCTATTTTTGGTGTTTATTTCATCCAATTGAACGTCAATCATAGTGAAAGAAGAGATACATGTGTAGTCATAGCCGCATGCAATCAACGTACATATGATCTTAGGGCTTAATGTGAAACGTGGGACCGTACTATTTGGAGAAACAAACTACTTTCCAAATAAAATAAGAACTTTTTAAGGTTGATAATCCCTTAAAACTTATATTGATTTTTGAGAATTATTGAATTGTATTCAGTCCCAAAAATTTAATTTTCAATATTATGGGCAAACATAGTTATTGTTCATCGGCCAATAAGGTAAATGCCGTTGGCGAAATTTTATCCATGCAATTTTGCTCCTTCCAAACGAAGTGTGTGCAAGACTTGAATCAATGGGTGTAACTTAAACACAATTTGTTTCAAGAGGTAATAATGACTTAAAAGGGACTTTCCAACAGAAAGTACCCTTCAGAAAGTTAAGTGGTCAATAAGCTATCATCTGGTGAAGTCTTATCAAAATCATAGGATTGTGTGGCTTGCAATGTTATCATCACACAAATCAATTGATTCACTCTTGCTCAATGATTCTTGATACAAAATTGTTATTGCAACAAAGAAAATGGGGGTGGTGGCAAAATTCTGTAGGGGGTTCCTGGAAAAATCCATGGGGGGTCCCTGAAGATGTCAACAATTTGTACGAAATGAGGATAAAATCGTTTTTTTTTTTTTTGGAAGTCACTTTTTTGGCGAAAATCCCTAGCAAATCGAAAGAATTTTCCAACTCCAGATTGCCTTGCAAATCCAAAAATGAGACAAAAATCGTTTTTTTTTTGGAAGTCACTTTTTGAGGTGAAAGTCCCTGGCAAATCGAAAGAAAAGTGAAGAGCAAAAAAAAGGTCCTCATTTCCAAAATTGTTGAGGGTTCCTAAAAATATTTTAGGGGGTAGTCATCCAACCCCTAGGAACCCTCGTCATCACCTATGATAAGAAACTATCTGTGATTGTAATGAGTTACGAGGATGTTCAAAGGCTTCAGGGATCCATAAATAGTTTTCTGGATTGGTGCAAACGGAATGAGCTCAAAGTCAATCGAACGAAGTGCCGAATTATTTCTTTTCATACCAAAAATCAACCAATAATAAATAATTACACAATAAATGGCGAAATCATTGAACGAGTAAATGAAATTCGTGATTTGGGCGTTATCCTTGAGAAGAAAATGAGCTTCAATTCTCACATTGAATATACCTGCAATAAAGCGAATGCTGCTCTACAATTCGTCAAAAGGCAGAGCTACTTTTTCGATAAAGACATCATTAAGATCCTATTCTTTGCATTGGCCCGTTCTCATCTTGAATTTGCTTCTACAGTCTGGTCACCATCGCTCATAACGCACAAAAAGTTTGTTGAGCGTACTCAAAAGCAATTTGTCATGCTTATTAATGGTGATTATTATAATCGATCGATGTAGAGCGGTGCTGCGATCTAGAACTTCAAACTCTGGCTACCACATTATGAATTTCGACAAAAGCTAATGAGACTTCCTGATTCTGCCTTTGGATCATGGGCAAAAATATGTAGAAACAATTTAAAATATTATAAATTTTTATTTCTAAATTGAAACTATTATCTTGTAAGAAAAGTGATTACAAAAAACCAAAAAGAGAAGAAAATCTTCACATTTCTAGTCTGACTGATTATCTATTGATTTATCACGAAGCGACATTATCAACTTGGATCAATTTTTAGGTGAATGCGAAGACGTATCATTTGACATTGACATATCTGAAGTCGATGTGTTGGAGGCATTGCAATCGGTCAACGTGAATAAAGGAGCCGGCCAAGATGGAAAAATTGCGCGCACACATTGTCGAAACCATTAACAGCCTTATTCTGTAAATCACTGCATCAAGGATGTGTTCCGGCAACATTGAAAAATTCCAGAATTGTGCCAATATACAAGTCTGGTAAAAAGAGCAACGCGTCGAACTACAGGCCAGTAGTTATAATACCGACAATAGCCAAACTTTTCGAAATTGCTGTGTATAACAAAATCAGCACATTTGTTATTTCGAAAATCTGCCACAATCAACATGGATTTGTGAAAACCATTGCACAGAGAAAAAAAATTTGGTAAATGTAAAGGGTAATTTGTAAGTTTAATATTACTTTACCAAATTACCGTACGAATTCTACCATTTTGTCATATTTTCAAAACAAACGACACGAACAAATTAAATTTACCCCAGCATAATATTATATTTACCAATTACCGCGTAGCAGTCAAATCATACCTAACGTCAACATATCATCGACTGTGTTATTAAATTCTTCGTATTGAATTCGACGATTTTGATTTCACTTTTATCGACGATTTCTGTATTATTCATATACAAATTATTAAAATTTGCCAATCCCAATTCTGATTCGATCTCTTCGCTTTTATTTTTTTGCGGACAAAAGTTCACGCGATTAG